ATTGATTTCCGTGATTTATCCTGTTGCTTCATGTTTGAATAATTTTTTCATTCTGTCATAAATGGTTTTTGGGCTTCCGCCCCACTTTACCTCCGACTCTTTCGGCCATGCTGCCTTTAAAGGTCTTCAATTAACAACAAGAGAGAAGAGATTTCTATTTCTTTTTCTCTTGTCTAAGTAACCGGGATTTATATTATCCCCACGCGAAGGACCTCATTAAATCTTCTAACAATTTTTCATTAACAATCTACTTTGCAACAAAGCCTTGTTTCGTTATTTATTAATATTTTTCTAGGATATATATTTATTAATATTTTTCTCTAGACATGTCACCTGACCTAATAACTGAATAGTATCTTGTGATATCATCAAACTAATTTTCTCCAAATTCAATGACTTCCGTGTAAGTCCCAAACGACAAAATCTTTGTGACTCTTGTTTTTATACCTACATTCACTTTATATCAACACGATATTTGTTAAAGCTGGTGCTTATGTGGTCTTGCATCTGAGTACTACTTTTACAATAACTTATAAGTTACTGAAATACTTAATACTGAGCGCTAAATACCGAGGTCATTGAAAATATAAAAAATCGTCATTACTTAAATCACAAAGAATCAAACGCCGAAGTGTGTCAGCATTTTCCCATATTCTAATTCATTTTCCTTAAATTGAGCTGCCAAGCTGAAGCACCAAAAAAAAAAAAAAATAAAAGTATTTGCGGCAAAAAAGAAAAAAAAAGCACTAATATCTTTTTTTTTATGCTTCATTGTTCTAGCAACATTCGGACCAAATTACGCGGATTCCGTCAATCAGTCTATATTTAAAAAGTAAATATGGCTGCCCAACCTTCCTCCCCGCCCCTTCCTTCCACACTAATGCTCGGAGGTTAGTTAGGCTGAGAACTGATGGACTGGGTGGATACATCATAAAGTTTATCTGATTGATGACTAAAAAGCCTGGCCTTAGCTATTGATATTTTTTAAAACAATAATACACTTTGTAACTTTAATGAATATGTCTGATCATTGCAATGTTGTAACTATTACAATTATCCCTGTAATTTCCCCTCATCGTCTCTTTGCATGGCCTGCATGATTAAAATTAGAAAAAAAAATAGTCTTCACTTTTGACTTACAGCGATCCTAGATTGGTATTGTTCATAAATATGTCTTTTGGCAAATTCTCCAACTGGTTGTTGTCCAAGTATCTGTCAACAAATGACAAAAGTTATCGTTCGTGTAACAAGTGTTCAGCCGCATTACTGATATAAACATCTTATCGTTACCACCAATATCTTCAAATGGCTAGAAATGTTTTTGGTAAGAACCCGGGTTGCTGCGACTGCAACGTATTTATATTTTCAGGTAAATCTGTCAACTCCATTATTTAGTTATCTGCGTAGTTATCTTTTAAGACATCCATCTATGAGTTAGCCATTCGTAAATCTATTATTTTCAGCAGAATGAATTTCAATGTCGTCATGGGAATCAACATGATGTTCGAGTTTCTTGAGCGGGTTCTTCCTTACAATATGAAATAAAGGGAGAACGTATTTGAAATAGCTTAGACATTTTTCGTAATTTTTTGCAATTTTTGCAATTTTTCTGATTGATCTCGCGAACGAGCTTCCGTGAACCAAGCAATTTGTTAAAATTTTCTTTTTCAAGAGTTAGTTCGGTAAGATAACGAGCTATTTCGTAGAACAAAATGAGTTTGAGGGTTTCTTTTTTTTGTTGGAGGCATTGAAAACAACTGAACACTTTAAAATTCCTCTCTTCTCCCTTTCTCTCCTCCAATCACTTGTTGTTGTAATACATAAGGCTTTACGATATGAAATGACATCTAGTGTAGACCTCATCATAGGCCAGGCGATACTGACTTGTTGTATGTTGCGGGGTAGGGTAGGTAAAGATACTAAAAGAAGTTTGAAAGGGAAAACACTGAACTAATGATACAGAATGTCTGGAATGGACAGACCTCGGCAGGGGAGTATGAGGAAAATTGTTATAACTGTTTGACGCGCTGCCTAGTCTAGGTTTCCATACGAGAAACTTAAGTCTTTGAACATGCACAGAGGTGGACTTCCATGATTTTTTTTTTCTCCTTCCAAATTGAAGTATTCGTTAATAGAAAGTCGTCGTTTACAAACTTTTTTTTCGTATTCTCTCAACATCCTAAGTGGTTTGTATACGACGGTAAACCGATAAAAAAGTGTGGTTTATTGTTTAGCTTTTCGCCTCCCGAAGCAAAGAGAGACGTGAGATTTGCGCTTGTAATCGTTGCAGGGTAATAGGAGTTACAATCATCCCTTTGTGCTATATTATCTCACTGTTTTTCTATATACTACGAGTACGTTTCGGTAGTCGGGTAAGGTTAATACCAAGTTCCAGCGGCGCCGCAATCATTGAAGGCAAATTTAGACAAACTTCACTTGAAGTATAAAGCTGTTTGACACGAAAATGTCGCAAGGGAGTCGACGTTTAACAGAAAACATGACGCCTTGATTTTTTTGTAAACTTTGTTTTACGAAAATGACTTTAGTTCTCAATAACTCGAGTGCATTTTAATAATCTACTTATTAATTTTTTAAATCTTTTTTTTTCGGTTTTCGTTTTTTAAGGCCTGGTTAAGTAATAAACTTTAATTTATGAAAAAAAAATCGCCAATGCAAAGTCGTTCACAATGGGATTCGGAGAAAGTTAAAAAGTTTTTTTTTGAGACTACTTTCATATTTTATTTTTATCCAAAATCTTACAGCCTCGCAAATTATTGAAGGTCGGGCAAACCACGACTCTTTCTCACGCTCAAGACTACATATATATTCTCTATTTGAGACGACGTTTTGTGCCTTTTTTTTCGGTCCAGGTTATTATTGAACATTAAACAAGGGCTTTATTTTCTCTTTTGTTTCCCACGTTTTTAAGTAAGTAATAGACTTTAATTTGTTGGGTTGGAGATAAATGGACGATGAAATCGCTCACAACGGAATTTGAGAGAGTTGTCGTTCAAAAGTTTTTGTGAGAGGCTACTTTCATTCTCTTTTATATAAACGCTTAAGGGTGCCTGCCACATTTTTAAATTCTCCATCTCAGTTGTTGCTCTTCAAGCATTTTGAATGGCTTATTTTAACTGGGTTTTCGCTTTTTGACTAAGCTACAGGTGTCACTGGGCTGATATTTGTTTTCTCTTTTTTGAAAACTGTTTGACGCGAAAATGTCGCAAAGGAGTCCACGTTTACCAAAAAAATATGACGCCTTGATAGTTAATAAAACTTTTTTTATGGAAAATCATTTTTGTTCTTAAAAACTCGAGTACATTTTACAGTTACTATTACCATTTTTTTCTTTTTTCTTTTTAAGGCTTGTTTAAGTAATAAACTTTAATTTATATAAAAAACATCGCCAATGCAAAGTCTTTCACACTGGGATTTAAAGACGGCTTTTGTTCAAAGGTTTTTGTCGGAGGCTACTTTCATACCTTTTTTACACTATATCTTACAATTTTTCACGCAAAAAACTTTCTTCATCAAATCTCTTTAAAAAAAAAAAAAAAAAAACAGACAGTTTCTCTGGTTCAATGTTGTAAACACTTGTCTTCCACAAAATATTCCTGCCACCCCTCACAAATTTAAAAAAAAATTTCCTCCAAAAGGCTTGGAAAAAGGACATAACGGCAACAACCCTAATTTAAGCGTTCGAAAATAATGGATATCAGCATGAAGAAAAGCCCTCTCCCATTACTTGGTTTTTTTCCCTATCAAAAATCATTATCAGGATTTTTATTTCATGATCACCAACAAATTTCTGGGTACCGTTGGTTTAGTTCAAATGCACCTTATCGAGCACGACCACAATTAAACACAATTAAGTTTTGTGATCTGTTTTAGATATATTCCAGTATATAATATCATTTTTCAAGAAAAGAGGTTTTTTCACAGGTTATATTTTGCCCGTATCACGCCTACATCCCCTTTATTAGAAATATAACCAGTAGCGGTTAAAAGCGAAACTCAGAATCACAGAGAATCGATGCGTCCTCTTTAATTCTTTAACTTATGTATACTTAGCTCTGCTACCAAAACATTGAGCACTTATGCCAAGGTAGACTCTGACCCCACATGTAAATATATATATATACTAAAACCAATGAAAGACGAAAGTCTTCTTTTAACCTTTACTTTGCTTTTGCGCTACGCGTTTCACCGCTGTTGAAGCTCTTCAGGCATAGCAAAGTGTGTTTATTGACTTGTTACGTCACTGATCTAATTGTAATTATAATAATAACGGCTATTGTAATTCGAAGCGCGCGCGAGCAATTAGCGTAATTTCAAGTCATTAGGAACGAGTTTATATTTCGAAATAAAAAAACCTCTTTATGCTTTCTCATGACCTCGGAGGGGCTAAGAATCTTGTAAAACGGAACTGAGGGGTCAATCCCGCAACACATTCATCTATTTGCTTGCTGACTCCCAGCATACGTGTGTGTGGGTCTCTAATTTGTTGTTTATGAAATGTCACTCTATTTCTCAGGACATCACCCGTTTCTCCTATATAATTATGTCCAAATCCTGCACATGCATGTTATTACGTAAATCAAGTTCGTTGAGGTGCAGTTCATCGAGTGTTTTATCCGAAATGTTTCATTCGTGGCGGAGAAGGTGAGTTATTTACCCTGTTTTAAATAAGGGCATGTTCCGCAACGTTTTGTTTCGCAAATTTTAACTTCCGGATTAGAGTCCTTTTGCTTGGAGAAATAGGAGTTTGTTAGCATCTGTTGACAAAGTTTTCTATGTAACGAGAGCACACTCGGAGATCACGTGCACCTCAGGTGACACATGATACAGCGGTCGATGTTATCTAATCGCAAAAGGTTTTAGATCACATATATCTACATGAGAGCGCACTTAGTTTACAAATAAAGACTGTTCGTTACCTAGAAATCGTGTGTTTATGGTAGAACGAAACATGGTACCAGGAGTGTAGCCTCTTCGACACGATGACAACTACACCACCTCAAGGTTCAGCGAGTGTTCAAGCGCCGACGCCATGTTATGGAATACAAAGCAATTTACCAATTCCGTCGCGATTGAATTTGGCAGGAAATATTTCAGAAAACTGGAAGAAGTGGAAGCAAGTGTGGGATTCGTTCGAAATCGCCTCACGTCTTAACCAGCAAGAAGATAAATACCGTGTAGCTACTTTCATTACCTGCATTGGAACCGAAGCCCTCGAAGTCTACAATGGTCTTCCGTTCGAAAAAGAAGACAAGAACGTAATGAATACAGTTCTGGAGTTGATGGAGAGGCATTGCATTGGCCAAACAAATGTCATTTACGAGCGATACTGCTTCAATAATAGAAAACAAGAAAGCGGCGAATCATTTGACACGTATCTCACAGCGCTCAAAACTCTCGCGAAAACGTGCATTTTTGGTCCACTCACCGACGAATTAATTCGTGATAGGATCGTCTGTGGAATTTGTGACACGGGAACTAGGAAGAAATTACTACAAGAGCCCAAATTAAATCTTCAGAAGTGTATCGATGTATTTCGATCAGCCGAAACAACTGCATCGCAAATGAAAGTCATGAGTGGAAGAGAAGAAGTCAACGCACTCAACCACAAAGAGAAAAAAGACGGCAGAGACGCCAGTCCTAAGTTAGTTAATTGCAAATACTGCGGCAGAAAACACGAGAGATCAAGAGATAAATGCCCAGCGTTCGGAAAAGAATGTGCGAAATGCGGCAAAACAAATCACTTCGCCAAGCTATGTAAACAGAAACTTGGTGGGCGACAACGAAGAAAAGAACGGATTCACCGAGTGCGAGACGCAAAAACTTCGCAGGATTCGAGCGATGAAGAGTACTGCTTCACGATTTCATCCGAAAATCTGGAAGAACAAAGTGTCAAAAGTGTCAGTAGTCAACCCATCAAATCGAAAATCTTCGCAACAATGGAGATCAAAGGTCATCCCGTTCGTTTTCAAGTCGACATTGGCGCCACCTGTAATGTGATAAGCAAAAACGATTTACCGAACGAGTGCCCGATCGCGCATTCGAAACAAGTCCTCAGCATGTTTAACGGATCGAAAATGGAAACCATTGGTAAATGTCGTGTTAATCTGGTAAATCCCAAGGTTGATGAAGAATGCGAAACAGAGTTTGTTGTTGTCAATAACGACTGCACGCCACTGTTGGGTTCCAAAACGGTGCAGAAAATGAAATTAATCAAAGTGCGTTACGAGAATATCTCATTGGTACAAGAAAAGACAGAAGCAATGGGCCTAACGATGCAACAAATAGCAGCAGATTTCCATGACGTTTTCACTGGAGAAGGAAAATTTGAGAAGAAACTTCACTTAGAGTTGGACACAACCATTGAACCAGTGAAACAGCCTGTTAGAAGGATTCCAGTGGCAATGAAACCCAAGTTAAAGCAAGAGCTCACTCGTCTCGAAGAACTTGGTGTTATCAAAGCAGTTGACACTCCAACAGATTGGGTCTCAAGCTTGGTACTTGTTAAGAAGCCCAACGGCAAGCTTCGCGTGTGTATCGACCCTCAGCCACTAAATAAAGCTTTGAAACGCAGCCACTACCCTCTTCCGGTTATCGACGATCTCCTGCCGGACTTGTCAAAAGCTAAAGTCTTCAGTGTGTGTGACGTTAAAAACGGGTTTTGGCATGTCGAGTTAGATGAAGATTCAAGCTATCTAACAACGTTTGGCACTCCATTTGGTCGGTACCGGTGGCTGAAGATGCCATTTGGCATATCACCCGCACCGGAATATTTCCAACATCGTTTGGATCAAGCCATCGAAGGCCTTCCCGGTGTGCGCACAGTTGCAGACGACATCCTCATCTCGGGTGAAGGTGACACTGTGCAAGAAGCAGTGAAAGATCACGACAAAAAACTGCTAACTCTACTTGAAAGGTGCCGCGAAAAGGGAGTGAAACTGAACAAGGAGAAGTTCAAGTTGAAGATGACAGAAATCCCCTACGTTGGTCATGTGTTAACAAGAGATGGACTAAAACCAGACCCATCCAAAATAGACGCCATCAAAGGCATGAGGCGACCAACAGATGTGAAAGGTGTACAGCGGCTTGTTGGTCTAGCAATTACCTGACGAGATTCTTAAAAAAGCTGGCAGACATTTGCGAACCTCTTCGACAGCTAACGCGCAAGGATGCAGAATGGCACTGGAGCGACGTCCATGAGAGCGCCTTTAAGAAGATCAAAGAAGCATCTTCCCAAGCACCTGTCCTCCGATACTTTGATCCCGCCAAAGAGACTGTACTTCAATGCGACGCCTCGGACACTGGACTTGGAGCTACGCTTTTACAAAATGGTCAGCCAGTGGCATACGCATCGCGATCCCTGACGGATACAGAACGCAACTATGCGCAAATAGAGAAAGAACTGCTAGCCATAGTGTTTGGAGCCGAGAAGTTCAACCAATACACTTATGGTCGCAAAGTGATTGTTGAGAGCGACCATAAACCACTTGAAGTTATTTACCGCAAACCTCTCGTGGCCGCCCCCAAGCGTCTACAACGAATGCTACTTCGCCTGCAGAAGTATAACCTCGAAATTGGTTTCAAGCCAGGCCAGCACATGTATCTGGCAGACACACTCTCTAGAGCACCCCTTCCCAACACCACATCGCGCGATGAAGTGCTAACCATCGACAAAGAAGTTGAAGAAATACATATGGTCGAGTTTCTGCCACTCCGCAAAGCTAGCCTAGACGATATCCGTAAAGAAAGTCTGCGAGACAGCACGATGCAAGCACTTCAGAAAGTCATTCGAGAAGGGTGGCCTGAGACCAAGATTGATCTCCCAAATGACGTCACGCCATACTTCAACGTTCGTGACGAGCTATCAGCGCAAGATGGAATTATCTTCAAAGGAGACAGATGTGTAGTTCCAAAATCCCTCAGACCAGAAGTCCTATCCAGAATCTACCGATCACATATTGGCGTGGAAGGATGCTTGAGACGCGCGAGAGAAAGCGTTTTCTGGCCAGGAATGAACACAGCTGTGAAGAACTTTGTCAGACAGTGTGAAACTTGTCGAACCTTTGAGATCTCCCAGCAGAAGGAAACACTCCACCCACATGAGGTACCTGACCGGCCATGGTCCAAGGTTGGTGTTGATCTGTTTGAGACAAACAACCGACATTACCTCGTGACCGTAGATTACTACAGCAACTACTGGGAAGTCGATAGGTTGGAGTCCAGTACAACATCTAAAGCTGTTATTTACAAATTGAAGCAACACTTTGCAAGGCATGGCATCCCGAACACTGTGTTTTCCGACAATGGCCCACAGTTTGATTCGGACGAATTCAGGAGATTTGCTCGAGATTGGGAATTCAATCATTTAACCTCAAGTCCCGGACATTCGCAGTCCAATGGTATGGCGGAAAGCGCAGTCAAGACTGTGAAAAGGCTTATTAAGAAGGCTAACAAAGATGGGACAGATCCTTGGCTCGCGATCCTCGACCACCGAAACACACCCTCAGAAGGCATGAAAAGCAGTCCAGCACAACGACTAATGAGTCGTCGAACAAGGACCCTACTCCCAACAAGCGAGAAGCTCCTTAAACCCAAACTCGCCGAAAATGTCCAAGAAGAAAAATGGAAGACAAAAACCAAGCAGGCATTTTACTACAATAGAAACGCTCGAGATTTGCCACCACTGAAAACTGGAGACTCAGTGCGCATTCAGCCCACAAGCAACCCCAAGGCGCCCTGGAAGAAAGCCACTGTTCAGGAACAGGTGAACATGCGATCCTACAAAGTCCTCACAGAAGATGGCTCTGCCCTTAGACGAAATAGAAGGCATCTGAAAGCAACTACAAAAGAGTCTCACACGCCAACAACCCAGATGCCCAAGCAGACAGAACTTCCCTCGCCATCTAAACACATTGAACAAGAAACTAACGCCAGTGGTCACTCCAGCTCAGAAGTAGCGAAGCCACAGGAGCCAGCGATCGAGCAGCCTGCGACTGATCTAACATCGCAAGCTTCCAAAGGCAACCAGACTCGCAGTGGTCGAATAACGAAGCCCCCCTCCTATCTGAAAGACTTTGTTCGTTAACCTGAGTCAGTGTCATGAGAGACAAAGACATTACCGGACTTGACTAGTTGATTCTTTTGGATAGTGGTTTTGATTTTTTTGTTTCTCATGTTTGTTTTGATTGTTCCGTTGTTTTCGTTTTGTTTCTTATGAAAGAAAGGATGTAACGAGAGCACACTCGGAGATCACGTGCACCTCAGGTGACACATGATACAGCGGTCGATGTTATCTAATCGCAAAAGGTTTTAGATCACATATATCTACATGAGAGCGCACTTAGTTTACAAATAAAGACTGTTCGTTACCTAGAAATCGTGTGTTTATGGTAGAACGAAACATTCTACAATGTCATTTAAAAGTGTTTTCAAAGTCATTGTCGCCTGTTGAAGAGCCAAAAACAAACAAAAGCGTTTTTGAAAGTGAGCCATAGGTTCTTCCCTGTTTCGAAATGAACTTCAAATTCTTGGAGAGGCATAAAAGCGAGAAAATCCTGTGAACAGGGCCCAGAAAATGGCAAGCAAAAGTTCAACCAAACAAGACAGAGAAGCGACAACGGAGAGGGTGCCAAGGTCGATTGTCATATATACAGAAGAGGAAATAAATACCTTTAAACGCGATGTTAAACTTTCAGTGCTTTTATTTGAGCACTTCATTTCTTTCAGTTTTGCCATCAAAAAGGTAAAAGATGTAAATCATTTTCCTTTTCGAGCAAATGATTTGGAAAATTTGAACAAAGATGTTAAAGATAGACGGCTTGTAAACTCAGTGAAATACATCTATTATCCTTATTATAGTGTGAAGCTTGTTTAAAAGGTTGAAAACAAATGTAAAAACAAGCACAAGGTACAAATAAAGTCGCCGAAGATTCAACCGTGTACGACTGACCATCCTTCCTATTCGCTAACGCAATGACAGTTCGAATAGTTGACTTTTAAATGGCTTTCCGGGGCGCGCGCCCAGGATAAAAACAAACAATATTATAACTGTTTTCTTTTTTTTCTTATTTTCATTCATTACCTGACGAGGGAATTCCGCGTTAAATTACGCTTGAAAACTGATATCGCACGAATCGCGGAGCAAGTGCATTTTCCTTCGTATTTATTTACCTAAATTTTCCTAAAAAAAACGCAGGAAATGGCATTTCCGACACTCAAAATGTAAACATTTTCTGCCCTCAGACCCCTTAGTTTAGATCGTCTTCAGCGCTCGAAATTATCTTCTCGTGCGTTCACCTTAAAAATCTCACGATTCAACTTCTCGAAGAAATCGGAATAATTTTACAATGTGATAACTAGGCGAACAATAACGTGCAATAATACCCACCAGCGCTATTAAAAATACAAACTTATCAACAATTCATCAGCGGTGTAACGGTACCGGCGTAATTCGTAATTTCGTTTGTCGCTACTTAAGTGCATTGCAGGAAGCCACGAGGTTTGTCGGATGTAATGTATTAGTACGACCCTTAGAAAGCACTGACAACGAGACTTTTAAATATCATAGTTTCCCCGCGATGGATATTTAATTAGATAAACTAAAAGCAGGGAACTAGACAGGAGTACCGAACGTTACGTTTGGCTTTCGTATTTGATTTCTCAATGGCAAAATACGTTTTGCCGCAGCTTGCAAGTTAGACCCAGGTTTTAGATGCTTTTACATTTAGTTTTCGCGTCTTTGTGACTTTTGTTACCTTTGTTACTCAAAATTTATGGCAATTCCGTTTGCTGTCCGCGATTTCAACCTTCACTTGATAGTTTTGGGCAAGTTTAAGCACTTTAAACACTTTCTATAAAATTTAACGACGACGACTCCATGGAAGCACGTCATTGTTTAAAATTTTTTTTCGCATTCTCTCAGCATCGCGAGTAGTTATACATGACGGTAAACCGATTAAAAAGTGTGTTTTATTGCTTAGCTATCCCGGACCAATGCACGTGAGATTTGCACTTGTAATAGTTGCAGGCTGGTAGGAGTTAATTTAACTCTGTGCTATATCATCTCACTGTTTTCGTACATACTACAAGTACGTTTCGGTAATAGGGTATGGCGAAAACCAAGGGGAAAAAACTGTTCAAACTTTGCAAATCATTGAAGGTTGGGCAAACCATGACCCTTTGTCACGCACAAGACTATATTTTGTATATTTTCAGACATGTTTCTGCCTATCCGGTACGGGATTTGCTTTGATTTTAACCGAAGACTTTGTTTCCTTTTTTTCAGGTTTCGCGATAAGAAATTGACAAGATCGAATGTTCGAAATATACAAGATTCAAACGTGAATGTAGATAAAGTTAAAGTATAAAGCTGTTTGACGCGAAAACGTCGCAAGGGATTCCAAGCTAAAGGGAAAACATGACGCCTTGATTGTTTAAAAACTTTTTTTGGGATGACAATTTTTGTTCTTGAGATTGTGTTTACGAGAGCACAGGGCAGTTGTGCTACATGCTATCTCACCGATTTCAATAAAACTTCGCCAGTTTAAGGGGTCTACCCCAAAACTCAAAAGACAAAGTAGTTTCTGTTTTGGTTCTTTTCCGGGAGGATATAGAGTATATGAAGCTTTCACTGCGATGGTATTTAACCAATTACTCTGAGAATCTGCACACTTATTATTGCATCCTTAGTTAATGAGTGACGCAAGTATCATTCTATTTAATTTACGTCTTGTCAATCAACAGAGGCAAATAAACGACTGCGTTTTGAGCCGTTTCGATTCATCCAAATATTTGACAACTTTGAGGTCAACTACCTCCCCTTGCCAGAAAGCTGTAACACTAATCTTAATTTCCTTTTATAATCCATCATCTCATCTCTGAAAACCATCAAAAAAATATTTGGGAACTATTGCATTTTTCTCTTGGATGCCTTTTAAAATCTGCGACTGTGACAAGTTTCTCTCAACTACACCTGTCACGCAATTCTGGCTCTAGCCGGTCACTTGACCAAATGAACCTACATTTTTTAGCTCTTCATACAAGATGAATGATCAAAGAAGGCTAAAAAATGTAAAAAAACTATCGAGATTTTTCGTAGGAATGGTAAATTTCACATTTAGAGAGATGCATGTAAGCGAAAAATCGATGGGAAAATCGTAGCTTTTTTTTTCTTATGTCGTTTATTACTTTGGAGATTTGCTAAAATCAGCAACTAAGGCTCTTGTACAGAACAAAAAATTCATAAGTCTGTAATTTGATTAATTATTATCATTATTGCACAGTTCACAATAAGGAAACTTTAACAGGAAAGGAGATTTTAAAGTCACATGTCGAGTGCTTGTTGACGTCCAAGTTCGTGTGTAACAGCTTCGTTTTTTTAGACCGCGGATGACTGAGACCTGCGTTAAACATGACCGAGTGCTAGACATGAAATTTATAATTCGGGATCACTTAATTTTAAATTCAGTTTTTCTACAAGATTGCTCCGTTTTAGCTATTTTAGAGTCAAAGACCTTTAGACACTCTCGACTAGAGCTGTCCAAACTACTCGCCAAGGAGGGAAAAACTTGGTATGTTCTTGCTTCAATTGTACCGACAAACTAAATGCATTTTCCTTTAGATATTTCTGAGAATCTTCATGATAAGTTAAAAAAAAACCCTTCGAATGCAAGATCTGTGGCAATTCTTTTTGCTTAACATAAAATTTAAACTTTCATTTGATAATTTTTGCCAAGTTTAAGTGTTCTAAACACTTTTGTAAATTTGAACGACAACTCCACGGCCATTTTAATACAAGCTGAGACAACTTAAATTTTGTGAAAGGAAAAGAGTGTAGCGCGAGTAAACAAAATAAGTTAAAAAAAGAAACAATTTCTGTGGTCCAATGTTGTACACTCCTCTCATCCACTGAATATTCCTGCCACCCCTCACAAATTTTAAAATATTTTCCCCCAAAAGGTTTGGAAAAAAAGGATACCTTGGAAGCAACCATAATTTAAGCGCTCGAAAATAATGGATATCAGCAGTGAGAAAAACTTTTTCCCTTTGCCTGGTTTTGTTTCCCCTCACAAATTATTATCAGAATTGTTATTTTATGATCGCTAACAAATTTCTGGGTGCAGTTGGTTTAGTTCAAATAAAGCTGATCGAGCGCAACCATAATTTAGGAAGTTTCTTGATCTGTTTAGATATATTCCAGCATGGAATATCATTTTTCAAGAAATGAGGTTTCCTCACAGGTCTCATATTACCCGTATTCCTATATCTACTTTATTAGAAATATAACCAGCAGTGGTTAAATTCAATTACGGTTATAGGGACCTGGATATCTCTATAAAAAAACTTTTCAAATCCGCAGGAGCTAGTGAGTCATCTACCACCGTGATATATTGAGGTGTTTACCGGTGGTATTTTGTTACTCCACTGAGCTTGAGGTAAGATGATTCAGAGACGCTCGAATGTTGGGTCTGGATTTAGGAAGAACTGGTCAGTTGGATTAGTACTCCCTCCTGGCCTCTCAATCATTTTTTTCAGATTAACATTTGTAAATTTAGGGTATACCGCAATATTTTTTCATAGACTCTTGAAGAGAAACTAAGAGTGCGTAACACATTTTTAAATTCTCATTTTCAGTTGTTGCACTTTGAGTGTTTTGACGCGCGCATTTAAAATTGGCTCTCACTTTTTGACTTGGCTACAGGAGTCACAAGGCTGATTATTTTTTGTTCTTGTTTTGTTCTTGTTTTTTTTTTCTTTTTCTTCTTCCCTTTGTGTAAAGGAGAGAGATCAGAGGAAAACACATATCTGAACACTGAACTGCATAGAATATTCTTGACTTGATTACTAGACTGGTTAACAATGAGAGGGAAATCGAAGGTGAACATTCAATACAACAATGATTCCTTTACTAAATTTCCTTACAAATTTTTCTTAGATAATCTATTTAGCGTACGAATTTTCCTAAACCAATAGACGTTTCAAAGAACTTTTTCCTAGTCCGGGTATTAATGCAGCTTTATTAAGATGTGACCCATATTAGAAAAAGTTCTTTGAAACGTTTTTTTGTATATTGAATATGCGATATCA